TGTGTGTGTGTGTGTGTGTGTGTGTGTGTGTGTGTGTGTGTGTGTGTATACACGTATATAATAAAAACATGTTTTTGGCCATAACCCAAGATATCATATGCTAATTATGACAATTTGACACAAATGTCTGACTGATAAATGATGACTGATAAACTGTTAAATGATGAAGGGATGACGTTATGGACAGATGTCGATGTTAACTGTTACATGGTTGGCCGAGGCATACGACCATGAGGCGGTAATTCCAGTTTGAATAGATGTCTGTTAAGTCACTATCTATCTCAGAAGGAGCTAAAACAATAGTGATGGAGCCTATGACCCACTTAAGTATTGGATATTTGGATATTTGCAAACAACAAACGACATTCCTTGGAAAAAAAATGCGGATTACAGTTTTTTCTCCATTTTATGCACACATAAAATGTTATTATGCAGACAGTTCTGAAAACCTGAAGCTCATGTATCAACGAAATGACTCCAAAGCACAATTCCATTGTTTTCACTCAAAGAGAAATTCGACATCAGCCAGGACTGAAATCCTGCCACTTGGCAATCTTTAAGATTTCAGTCGTGGTTGATTTAGAATTTCTATTTGAGTGAAAACAAAGGAATTAAGTTCAGAGTTTAGCCGTCTGGAGTCTTGGCTGCATCCGAAATTCCATACTAACAGGCTATTTTTGAGAATTGTGTGCATAGTTAAATTTTTTGTTTTATAAACAATAGGGAAAAAACTGTAATACGGCATATCTTCCAGGATTGTCGCCACAGACACTCAATTCGTAATGCAAATATATAAATATTGCAATACTTTCATCAGTGGACTGAATCACCAATGTGTTACCTCCTCTGGTAATAGTGACTTAACATGACTAAACAAGCAAAGTCGCAATATTTCTACCTGAGTAGGACATTTTATATTTTACACTGCTGAATATAAGCACTTCCCTCCAACTCTGTGTATGCATATGTATGAGATAGTCCAGAGAGAAAGACAAAAAGACACTAAAGTCGATAAGGGGAGACAGCAACACCTCAACCTGTCATCTTAATCTCAGTATTTCACAATAGGGGTTCCTCAGGCGGATCCTTGTATCCGAGCTACAAAAGGAATATCAAAAGTTGTAGTTGTCATACTGCCAGCACCGTTACCTATAGGTGGGTGTAGTATGTGTGCGTGTGTGTTGCCTCAGAAAGTTCCCAGCTTCGGCAGCTCTTACATCACTCTCTTTTGTGTTGGCCTGCCCTCCTCCCGCTTGGCTGCACGACTGGAGGGCAACCACGAATTAGAGAGTGGGAGCCACACTTCGCCACTCTGCACTCTGCTGTCCTCACCAGGGTCAAGATGACCTAATTAGCACGTATGGATACCTCTAAAACAACCTATAACGAGAGCTCAATATGGTGTCAGATGGCGTGTGCCCTATTACCCTACTGTAGATGCAAGGGCCCAGAAATTCTGTGTGATGTCCCACATCACACAGTATGCAAATTGTTAGTATGCATTAGTTTGCAAGAGATACTGTACATTATATGATTAATGTTTTGTCTGTGATATCACCATACTGTATAGGCTAAAGATAGCACTAAAGATATTACCGCGCAAACATGCTCATAAAGTTTTCTGCTGAGTACAATTTGCCCTTTTTTTCTGCATCTGTTTGCAATTATGGATGTGGCAAAGTATAAATGTGATGCAGGTCATTGCATTGTGAGGTGTGAAAGTCAGCCTGAGCCAAAAGACATACTGAGTCAATTCAAGTCTGGCTTGGGCCATATAGACCAAGCTCGGGTCGAACTCTGGCTCATTTTACTTCTTTCCTTTCATTATGCACGTCTGCACCGCAAAGCACGTGTATGGGGGTGGGTGAAATTATACATAGTTAAAGAGGTAAATATTAATTACATTCTTTTATTTTAAGAACTTTTTTATACATTTGAAACGTTTTTTTAGTTTATTAAATACCTGTAATATATTATTTACTTATTTTTTGACACAACAGTCATTGCATTTCAAAATAGATGAGTTTGAGCATGCACTCCTTATGCGCTTCAGTTACCAACTCCATAAATATGCGAATAATTGAGGCTTATTTGCATAGAAAGGGTCAGATTTTCGCTAAATGCATCCCTTTTACCTCATTTTAATTACGTGCAAATAGCACTGGAGCACGGAGATGCTATTTTCTTGGCAGCGCAGTTATGCATGCATTTCACCCTTTGGGGTGCTTTGAGATTTGCACAATTTTGTCTCATTTGCACAGGTTTAGTGGCCGTAAAAGCCACGCAATCCTTTTGTGAATTCTCCCCTGAATGTATAAAATATAAGGGGCATCTTCCTGACACTGCAGTACTCGTCTGCTTCTCTTCATCTACATATTCTTCTTAAAAACTTCTACAATTTTAATAAAGAAAATCAATGACAGAAATCGCTTTTACATGTTATTTCTCAAGTAGAAAAAAATAGAGTATCCTTGATATTTTGCACATTCAGTGCAAACTGGGTGTTTTAATGAGGATGAACAGTTCCTGTATCTGTAGAGGTCAATCTAATTCCACTCCCAAATGATCTCCTTTTGTAAGTAAATTGTTGCATGTCCTGAAGAACCACCATCCCTGAGAAATAGCAAGTTCAATTTCCATCTAGCCTTGGAATGAGATTATATGATTTCTATCCATGGTGTATTTAAAGTATCAAAAACAGGCCAAAAATCACATAAATTAAGCCAATTTCCCCATCAGTAGCATCGTAAAAGTGTCCAAAAACTGTTGAGGCAAGATTGGATTCCCTGAGAAAAGAAGAAATAGCCTGAAAAACTGTAGTCAGATGTGATTTCTCCATCACAGCATAGTGACTAGTGACAGTGTCGAGCCTATTTTACTGAAGACCACGTTAGACCTAACACCCAGTGAGGTCATATCTCATATCAGCGCTCCGTGTGTCGGTGCATGTCCTGCTTTTAGGGAACACAATGGTCACATTGTACCAAAGAGGCGTAGCAAACAATTCCCATTTCTGAGTCAGGAAACCTAATTGCATCATGGTGCCACAAAAAACGCTGCGTCATGCAATTCATAAGATAAGTTGTTCTTTGAGTTTTTGTGGGAGAACAAAATGGTTTTAATGTGACGGAAGCTGAGAGACACAGTGTGTTCTCGCTTCAAAGTGCACTAAAATAGACCACTGAGCAAATCACTACTTTAATTCCTTCGTTCTTTGTGCAAGGTTGGAAAATTACTGTCTTAAGAAAAAATTTGTTGCTTTTAGACTTTGATACTATTTCACGTGGTTAGTCACAATATGCACACAAAAGAGTTAAAGACCTCAGGGTGCTGTAGCTAATTTGTCTTTATGGGGAGTATCAAGGGCACCACACGAGAGTCAGCTGTTTTAAAAAGGCCTGAAATCCAAATGACAATGGCAAAAAGCACTAATGGACGGGATAATGACGGAGAGTGAGTGGGGAGAAGCACATCCGCTGAGATGTCTTGCAGTGAGTTGTAGCCATGGCTGACAGTAAGAAAATGGGAAGGAAATGATTAATTTTGCCCTGGATTGAATTTGCCTCGGGGACTAAAGAAAAAGAGCTTGTGTACACCTGGTTTGGCTCTTGAATGGTGACAAGGGGGAAGCAGAGATAGATAGGTTGGAGTTTTATGAGCTCTGGACTGACAGCACAAAAAGACACGCTACAGCGAAAGCAAGGTCATGTTTG